TATTTTATTTTTTATCTTATTTCATTTTCCAGTTCTGTAGAAACAGGGCCTCATGCATGCTCTGAAAAAGCTCCAATACGGAGCTCCATCCTCAGCCCCAGTAGTACATTTTTACTGAAGGTTTCAGGGAATGGAGCTAGAATGAGATGAGAATCCACAGAACAGTAAACAAAACTAAATAATAGATGGCACTTCTTTAGGACTCAAAATTCCTCAGATGCCCTTTTCTCCTTGACCTCAGGTCATGCTGGAAGCTGCCTCCTTTCTCTCCACCCTTGTCCTCTTCTGCCAATGTGCACCTCCAATTCTCTGTCTAAGGCAAACAGAGCTGCAATTCCTCATTCACCCCGACAGTGTTCACATTTGCATGTCCCAACATTCTTGAAACTGCCTCGTGAAGTGAAGTCTCCATCTGGTTTGGATTTGTACCTTTGGAAATTATGAGACCTTGAAGAAGCTGAATAGGGTTTGTGAAGGTGATTGCTACATTTTCCCATCCTGTAGTTGCTAAGTGACACTTATCTCCCACATGCTGCCTGAAAGTGCACACTGCTTAGAGAATTAAGCGTGTTTAATAACTACCAGCTCCCTTTCCCTGACCCTGTTGCACACATCCTGTTCCAAAGTGCCAGATTTGAACGTCCTTTGGATTGAAATCCTGAGCATGTACAAAGAAGCAGAGAGGAAGCCGGGGCCCAAATGCTGAGAGACAAGGTCGGTGAGGGCAGCTGGCCCAGGCCCAGGAGGAGGCCTGGGGACAGGAGCAGGACTGTGTAAGAGCTCTCTCTCTGAACAACCAACAAAGAGTCAGCAAAGAGGAAGGGGCCAACCGCACAGTGCTGAGGAAATGGGTCACAGAGAGTAGCCTCACCTCTCTTCGATCATCTCTGAGGACAGCAGCAAACTCCCATTTTACTGCTTTCAATTTTTCAGTCCAGCCACCCAACGGACCTATAAACGCAGGTGAAAATGAATTAGGTTCTTCATCACCCCACCCCCAAGTCTGCTGACTCAATTCATCCCCCTTCTCCTTTAGGCCTTCCTGTTTATGTTGTCACTTCATTTTATTATTTATTTTTAGCCCTGATTTCGGAAGCTTTTATTCTGCTGGGCATTGGCAGGGTGTCAATGGCATGGCTCTCAGCTCTGAAAGGATCATTGTGCTGGCCTGGCTTCAGTCCCTGCAGAGACAGAGCGCCAGTATAGCCACCTCACGCTGCCTCTTCACACTCCTGGCCAGCTCAGTCCCGTGGCCTTCTCTGAGGGCTGGCCAGTGCAGTGCGGATGGCTATGGGAAATATAAGTGACTTACCTTTCATCAGATCCAGCCCTTCCTCCCAAAAGGAGAAACTGAGACTCAAAAGGGAAGGGTTATACCAAAGTCATTCATTAAATCACAGAACCAGATCCTAAACCTTGAAGGATTCTGGTGTAATGCTCTTTCTGTGCATTAGCCAATATCACCTGTGAAACAAAATAATCATTTCTTAAATTTCACCAGTGTCTCTTCCATTTTTATTATTTACATATTTTTTTCTTGACTCTGAAAGTACTTAAAAAAAGACCAGAACCTCCATAGGAGCTCCTCTCATTGTGCCAACATACTCTTCTATTTGTTATTGTTTTTCTTTAAGAAATACACATTTTTATTTTATTTTTTTCGCTGTAAGCCAGGAACAGCAAGCTGGTACCCCTCGCCTCCTCAGACTGACTGCAGTAGCAATGAAGGGACATGCTTCAGCTCCCAGGACAATGCTGTCTTTGATGGGGAATATACCAAAGCAGAATTACAAGTGTGCAAGAATAAACAAGGCTGGAGTCAATCTAAAGTTGTTTTACACTCTGTTTTATTAAAGTCAATGCATTTCCGTTCCTATGTGCCCAGCCTAGGCTTGCTTAATTATACACACCAGGGGTGAATGCTAATAGAGGCAGAGAACAGTTGGTGATTGGAAACCGAGGGCCTTTTCTGACCTCTACAGGCCATTTGGAGGAAAAACGAAGCTGATTCTGGAAAATTACAGAGCAGGAGGCATGGCAGCAAAGGGCTGAGGGAGACTTTTCCTGGATGATTCCTTACTACACTGAGTCAGCTAGACACACACATGTCCCACTTTGCTGCAGCAACCACTATCCATGCTTAATAAGTTACTGAGGCAATGGGTAAGAGGTCATTCTTAGGAGAGGTTGCAGTGGAAATTAAGATCTCAATCATTCAACACGTTATTTTTTTTACACCAGGGATTGAACTCAGGACCTTGCGCTTGCAAGGCAGACGTGGTACCATTGAGCTAAATCCCCAGCTCCATTCAACACATATTTAATGAAGGCCCACTATGTCATGGGCCAGGTGCTAGGTTCTCAGGATGGAGCAATGAACAACATCATCTTTGTTCTGCAAAAAAACCCTACTCTGGTGGGAGGAGAGAACTCACAGGAAATGCCATGCAACAAAAACTGATAGAAGTTCTTTAAGATGTGGGGTCTTAGAAGCAAACCATGTTCTTGGAGAAGAGTGCATATAAGCACATGATGCAGGGATTTGTATTAAGAAAGGAGACCAAAAACATAACCAGAGACTAAATCAGGTGGTGTTCAAGTCCAGCGTCTGTTCACATTTATCCCTGGGACCATAGGAAGCCTCTAACAGATGTAAGCAGCAGGTACAGAAATTCTTTTTCATTCCAAATGCCATTTTGCTGCTCAAAGAGTTGGAAGGAGGCGAAACCAAAGGTTAGAAGAATGAGAGGAAACCATTGCTAAAATCTAGGTGAAAAATGCCCCAAGTGGAGGAAGCTGTGGATAGATTCAAATTAAAGCTAAGGGTCAGACTAGAAAACACTGGCAGCTTCATCCTTCTAGTAAAGAGCTGAGTTTCTAGTTTGGACCTGGGCTGAGCATCAGGGAACACAGATTCCCATTGACATGGTCAAGTCCAGGACCTTGGAGGAAGAGTTTAGTGAAAATGGGAGGAGATAATGAAAGTCTGACTTTGAACCTGTTGAGACATTTAGAACAAGTTGTTTATATTTGGGTTAAATATTGAAAACAACATACATTCCCAGAGACAGAGGTGTTCTATGGCCTCAAAAAGGTTCTTAGAGGTTCTTTGAAGAAAGGCATTTTCCCTTGATGTGTTTAGGAAGCAGATTCTCTATAGTAAAGTCAAGGTTCTTACTAACTGTATGGATCATAGTTCTCTGGAGGAACAGAATAAATGGACTTTATTGGCTGTCTGCAAAGTGGGGAGCCAGAGGATTCAGTAATTCCTCAGTTCAAGAAACTGGAAGTTTAGAACAAGAGGGATTAAAGATGCAGTGCCAATCTGAGTCTGAAGGCCTGGAAGTTCCCTGGAGGGTCCTGGTGTGAGTCTGCATTGAAGGCTGAAGAAATGAGAGCCTGATATCCTCAGGCAATGACACCAGCAAAAGAGGCAACCAGAATGGAGCTTGCAAGTATGGGATAGCTTTCTCCTGCTTCCTCTTTCTGTTCCATCTAGGTCCTCAGACTATTGGATGGTGCAACCCACAATCAGGTGTGGATATTTCCTCACTGAATTTGCTGGCCTACATGCCAGTCATCTTTGGAAACACCCCCAAAGACACACCAAGAAGTATGCTTTAATAATCTCCTAGGTGTCTCTTAATCCAGTCAAGTTGCTAATCATAATTAAATGTCACACTAGATGCATCATTTTACATATGTCCTTACCTTCATTGTTACCCAGTACTTTCACCTATGAAATGATCATAACAAGAGGGATTGCCTCAGGTAGGTCTGGGTTGTCAGTGATAAACATGGCAATATGAACAATAGTCTAAGGCAGTTATAGATAGTAATATTCATATTTACTAATGTTAGCTGTAATTGCCCATTCCTGTGGTACTATTTATGTCACCTCCTTTGGGATACTGGAACAATCATGCATGGAGAAGTCAGACTTCTCTGGGAACAAATTCCACTTTCATTCTTCACTGAAATTGTCACTAGAAGTATAGCTGAGCTTCATTTTGAAGATGGCAATCATCGCAATCCCAATCTATCCCACAGAAAGGGAATGAGAGTTAAGTGAGTGATTATGTAATTGTATGAGCAGAGAGAAGGGTTGCAGGCAGATATTTTCTCCCATGATACCTTCTAAAATAACATCCTCTTTAGTTTGGAGTGTGGGTGGGGCCTGTTGATATTCTCTCCAAGAATATTATCTATGTAACCTCCACATGCTGGACACTTGGATGGCAGAACTGTTGGTTTCTTGGCTTCTTCGCATTTCTTCCCGGTTACTACAGAACTGACCTTGGTGCTGTGTCTTATCTTGCCCCCAAAGACCACAGTCACATTCAAACACTTCTGCTAGACTGCTCCAAAGAATCGTGCTTAAATTTTATGATTTTGTTGTGGAGTTGGTCATTATACTTGTTTCTTCCCAAGAAATAATTTTAACCCCTCAAGGCCTCAAAAACCATAAAGGATCATGGAAATCCTCCTATGTAGAAGAGTCAGTTTGCTTCAGGTATATTAACAGTCCAATGCCCTCCTTTGTGTGGCTGCCTTTGTGTCATAAGACCTAGATGTAGTTAATTCAGTAATTTTCTCACAGAATGTGTTCTCTGCCAAGGAGTCTAAACCCATTTTATTTTGTGACCCAAATAAGCCTAGAATATGCAAAACATTTGGAGACTAGTTTATGTCATGATGATGAGAGATGAACCTCTCCTTATACTCTGAAGATCTCTGTTTCTGTGTGAGAGTATGACCTAAAATCATCCCCTCACCACCTCCTGCCTTTATAAACATGAGGCTGATGATAAAACTTCTCTCACTCTTTGTTCTCTTGCCTAAAGCCCTATAAGTACTCTTTCTCTGTGTGTGTATGTGTGTGTGCTGGGGAGGAAGATGTGGTAGGGAGTTTAAGTTCAATTTCAGCCTCACTGTGCTGGCATGTATGAAGTAGATGCTTTTTACATTACATACAAAATTATCTTTTTATCACTAGGCACTGAAAAGATGCAGTCCAATCCATTTTTATTTCAAAAGTCCTTTTTACCACTCATTTTTATCTAAACAACACGTTTTAAAAATCAAGAATCAAGAGGGCATTCATGTAGCCAAATTCCAACACAAACAAAAGAGGACCTTGTTCGGCAGATAGCAGCAGCTCTAGACCAAAACTCTTGTGGTGAGGAGCAGTCTACTGTCTATGCATCTTTGGAAGATGGAAGCTTTTGGGAGCAGGGGTGAGGGGTACCAGCGGGGCAAAATAAATCCATCACTCTAATGCTAACCCAAATGTCCAGATCCACCACGTGGGTCACTGTGCTAATTCCTAACAAGGATGACTTATGTCAGGCATTTCATAGAAGCCTCTTCTCTTGGAACATGAAATCAACTCTACAGCTAAGTCTCCAGGCTAATGAATGGAAGCTGCATGTGAGAATTTCTCCTGTGGTTGGGAGTTTAATGTGACTTTATTGGTGTTGGCAGCCCTCAATGTGTGCTTGTAGCTCAGGGACCAGGTTAATCTCAAATGTTCTTTATGACTCTGAATCCTTTTCTCTGGAGGCTTAAGAGAACCTGGAGCCAGTGGATGGAATCCTTGGATGCTGATACTCGCTGGTGGGATTGCAAGAAGCAAAGCACCCAAGCAGTCAAGTTGGCACAAGGCACACGGAGCCACCCAGCCAGTTCCCACCAAAGTGACTGCATGGTCCAGAGCACCCGGATGAATGCGGCAGCCACCAGGGAAACTTAGAGGCGCCTTTGCTCCATTGTCACTGCTCAGTCCAAGTGTCTGCGTTACACCAGTGAGGACAAGGCCACCGGATCCTTCTTAAGCTGGCCTCACTCTGGAAGCAGCCTTCCATGGCAACTGCCTGCTGGGGAGGTTCTGTACCTTTGCAAGATGCCCTTTTCATGAAACTATTTTTCTTTCATATAACACAAACTCTGATTGAAGATAGAAAATTGGAGAAAGGCAAGGAAATGTATGAGATATTAAGATATTAGATGTCTAGTTTGGAAGCTGGGAGTCAAGCAGGGGACACATTTTCCTGAATACCTTCAACATGTCAGAAAGTTTGCGTGGTGGGAAGAGGGATCCCAAAATAATAGCAGGTTCATGCATTTTAGAGCTCATTACTCACTACTGCCTGGGGTGAGGGTATACAGTGCATAGAAGCTGGAAAGTGTGCTGCTAAATAGATGTATAAATAATACAATGGTGCACAGAAGACAGGTTGTGTAAGTTGGCTTTGGTGTTTATAAAAGGAGAAAGGTGAATCTGAACGGGTTTTCATTGCCTCAAATAGGGTAATCGGAGAAGAGAAGCTCAGCAGAAGCAACAGAAACCTGAAAAATGGTTCTAAAAAGCAATTGGTATACTTACGGTGTTGTGTGGCTCAACAAGTAGTGTGTGTGAATGGAGGGGGCAATAAGAGTGTGCTTATCCGTATATACTTCTCCTTATGCTTCCTTTTCCCGACATGCCTCTGGCTTGCAGGGGTCCTTTCCAATCCAGTAGCTTGTTGGTCTCCAACAACCAGCATGGCACCATAATCTTTACCTCGCTGTAAATATTGTTCTTCAGGTATCAAAATGCCACACCCAGCAGTAGCCTCACGGTAGTCAACAACCAGCCTGGCAAGAGTGCCAGACTCTAGGCTACGAACAGGTTGGGACTATGGTGCTGACACGTGTGCTAGTATTGTGCGTAGTTCTAGACATGCCACTGCTGAAAAGTTTTGTAGTTCTCCCCTACCACGCTGGGAATTAAGTTCAACTCCTTCCTCAGGGCATAGCAAATATTGTTACATCTGATTGCTATCTAGTATCTAGTTTTTCTACTTAATCTCTTGCTATTTTCCTTGTTTCTCAATATACAACTATATTCTTTAAACTAGTAACACTGAACATTTTAGTCCATGTCCTAACCTTACCACAGGTCCTCTATTCAAGCTTTCTCTATTTCTTAACATGTCCTGCCTGAAACTTCTGAACATGTCATCTACATTTTCATCTTCTAGTAGACTTTTGCCACCACAATCTTAAGGGTTTTCCATATTATCATTTTCAGATTCCCATAATGTTATATGTCCCTATCTTAAAATAAAATACTTGCTATTCTTACTTATCAAGTTACAGTAACTTGAGTTCATAGTAAATCTTCTTTCTCTAAATTCTTAGAGCTTAGAAAAGTGCAGGACACACAGTGGGCAATTAATATACCTTTGTTGTATAGATAAATCAATAAGTGTTCCAAGTGTCTGATTTTTTCAGAAGTTTCTATATTGAAACTCACCTGCTTTTCTCCCTTTTTTCTCATAACTGTGCTAGTTGATCACAAATTAATCTCATAAATTAATTTGGGCTGAGGTATTACTTGCTGATAGCGAGTTAGTATTGTTCCCACCCCCTTTCCAGCATTTACATTTCAGCAATATTTTTTTCATAACTCCTCAAAGCAATGGAGAACCAGGAGCATTATGTATTTCTCTATTCAAAATTGGCAAAAATGTATAAAGGAGAAGTTAAAAGATGCTGTTACTTTGGGATCTGAATTCAGATTTGTTATTTCCTTCAAACCTCTTGTGTATGTCATAGAAATCTGAATGTCTTAATATGAAGGATAGGTGTGTAATTTCTGAGCTACACCAAGAAACTCTGAAAAAGAGTAGGAAACAGCAGAGATAATATAATATCAAGTAATATCAAGTAATAATATCAATTCCCTAAATCAAAATCACAACACACATGCTTTTCTCTTATGTCTTATGCTTAAACTATGGCAAACTTTTGCTCTGTATCTTTCTGCTGATCAGAGCAAACGAACACTATACATATTCTCTGGAATTATTTTAAAGCTTCCAAAACTCTTTGGGTGGTGGTATGCTAGGCAAACTCTCTTTTTCAAGTACGTGATCACCCAGTATACACTATTTTATTTCCAATTCCCTTAGCATTAAAACTTTAAATTTCAGCTGGGCCCATCTCAGATAAAGGCTATATTTTCGGACCTCCCCTGCAGTTACCTGTGGTCATTGGACAACTTTCTGGTTGGTGGGATCAAGCACAAATACCATGCATAGATTTTTTCCAAAGTAGGAAACATGTTCTTTTTTGGTATTCTTTTTGCTGCTCTCTGGGATGCAGAGAGAAAAGCTGATGCTTTTGCAGCAATTCTAGGTCAAGAATAGAAGCAACACATGGCAGAGCTAGAGGACTAGAAGCTGGGTCTCTGACATAATGCAGCCAAGGTACCAGCTCTGGCCTCTGTACATGTGAAATTCTGTATGAAAGAAAACTTATACCTTGCCAAAGCTACTAGTATTTTGAATTTTCCATCTCTCATAGCCAAATCCAATCCTGATTAAATACATATGGCATTGAACAGACTCGTATTTGACTTAGAATATACTCCTCATCATTGTCCCCCTTCTATCTACCTCCCTAACCTCAGCAATCATGTTTCTGAGATGCTTCCTTCTGCACACAGACTCTCAAGCCATTCACTCACCTAGGCTCTTCCTCCATGTAACTTCCTTTCCAGATCCCTTCGAGAAAGAATATTTCTCAATCATGTGGCCCCAGAGAACATTTTTTTGTGTGTAACTGTGAGACTACTTACATATGATACCTTTGTGTTGTGGAGGGGAAAAAGCCAACACTATTGTGTAGCATGTGCCAAGCTGCACACTTTTATATCTCATTTCATCTTTGGGATAACTTCATGGTATACATACACTCATTCTTACTGGATGCATAAAAACTCTGAAGTTTGGAGAGATCCAATTACTTGCCTACGTTTTCATAACAGGCAATGCCAGATCCAGGATACAAACCTCATTTGTCTGTCTGATTCTGAAATGAATGCATTTTCCAGGGTATCACGCTGTCTTCCCGAGTGTGTTTAATGGCCTGAATATGTAGGGTTTTGAAATTTGCGAGGACCAGTGATCATGTCTTATTCCATAGAATCTAACCAAGCTTCTGGCCTCTACCAAATCCATAAAATGTATACTGTTACAGACCTGCAGGATGATATTTGCAATTACCTGACTGCACAGCCTTCTATGTTCAATCATCCAATACTTTCTGACCCTTCCAGGACCCTCAGAGTTTCAGTGGCTTATGTTGGTGCTGGAAAGCTCAGATGCTATGGTTGATGTAACACTCATATATGGAACAATTTAAAGGCATATAGATTTCTGATTGAGAAACCAGGAAGAAAGCCCACTCCTCTGCTTCCAGCCAGCTTCAGCTTCAAGCACAGGAATGCAGGGGAGCTCAGTGCTGTCTGGAGAGGCCCCATGGTAATCCCATACCATGGAGTCCCATTCTAATTGCAACGGCAGCATGTATAGGCTCCAAGGGCAGTACAGCAGTGTAGAAAAATGTTATAATTGAGAAGTAACCAGACTCTATGCATAGTAGAACTAGAATGAAATCAGGAGCTCACACAGGCCATTTCACGCTGTGTGTGTCTGAGTCCAGTGACTGGAAACAGAGTTTCTATGAACCTCAGGATTACAGGATGGTGTTTCTTCTCTGCCTTGTCCCCTCCTCTTCTTCTCCCTCATCCTGATTGAAGGCACATGCCTGGATCTGCCGGTCCAGCTCAAGGATGCTCTCATCCTGGTCTGAGCTGCCATCTGAAGTGTAGTCAACCTCTTCCATGCAGGCTGGCTCATCATCTAGGTCGGAGACGTTGGTCCTGCTGCACCTGCCATGGGTTCCCAATGCATGGAGAAAAACAGAAAGATGGGGAAAGTACCAAGGGGGAAGGAAAATAGAAAGAGGAAGATAGAGAAAAAGGAGGAGGAAATTGAAAGAGAAGTTAGCCAAAAGGAAAAATACTTGCAGTTACCTGGAACAAGAGGATGGAATTCTCGCTCCCTGGGTTGTAATCTCAAGTCTTGTTGCTTTTTTAAACGAGTTGCATACAGACATCCCTGTGTACTTGACCATTGCCTTGGGTTGAGGAGAAGATCATATGAGATCCATGGGCTCCTTCCTTTCTTTGGTAACACACTGCATTTTTAGGCCAATCAGATTTCCAATCACAAGATGTGGGTAGACTTACATATTCAGGTGTCCTACAGTTAGTGAACAAGCTCAGAAGGCTGTCACTGGGTGTCTGGAAATGTCATTCCATCTACTCTCAGGAAGAACAGGAATGTATTTGGGGTACATAAAACTCAAAGCCTTCATGCTTCCCATTTTCACAAACAGCACTGTGAGGCATAATGCATAGTTCTCCTTTATCATGATGAGTGGTATATTGGAATTCGAAAGTTAATGCAGGTTGAAATTAAAAAATGAGAGAGTGAGGACAAAGCATTCTGTTTCCACTCTATGCATGTCCACTATCCACTCCTCCCCTCAAAATTTAGCAACAAATTGAAGATCAGTGGGGGGTGATCAGGTAGAGACAAAAGGGGGCAATAGGAATCAACCAAAGACTGCTACATATTATGAGCAGGAGGAATTTTCTCCCATGGAGCTATATATCTTCCTCATTTGCATAAGATACCTTCTTTCCCTAAGACTTTCTAATCACTCCCTACTTAGGACTTAACCAATTAGGATTAGTAGCATGCTGGGTTTCTACTGTGTGATTTATAGAAGACAAGCACTTCATAAATCAGGGAGAGCTGTTCATCCACCTGCCTCGCCATAAACAATGAAAATGGGTAATCAGCAGCATGGTTACATGTTAGCTCGGGAAATGAATCAGAGGCCAGTTTCTTAATTGTCTACTGACGGATGGGAGCTGTTCTGTGCTCTCCAGACCCCTTGTACCCAAACCAGGAGCTCTGCTGGGATACTATCTGAATGGAGAAGGGGAAGAAATATGAATCATATTTCCACAGCACCACAGCATTAAATTGACATCATATTTTACAAGCTGAATTGTGGATAATAAAGTAGTTGGATGAAGGAAGGTAAGAGCTGCCCCAGCTGTAACACAATTTCAAATCAGCAAGACCTTGAGTGTCTGAAACTCACTTGCAGCCATGGCAGGCATAGAGGTGATGTTGCCATGCACTGTTGAGAGTCTGGCTTTAAATTGCAGCAGTGAGATTTTTTGGGGAAAAAAAAGAACAAACCTTGATCTCATAGAATGGCAATAATAAATACCTCAAGAGTTTAGGTGAATACTAAGTGAGAAAACACATGGCTGTTGTCTAGTAGAGTGCTCTATGAAATGAAAGCAATCAACAAAGTTTAATTCCATGGCTCTGCTCAGATGCTAAAGCTGGTAAAGCATGGTGTGAAAGGAGAGTATGCATTTAAATTTGTTGTTTCACACCTGGGTTACTGCAATACCTACTGAAACCATCCAAATTGGCACTGCTAATAATGTCTCAGAATGTGATTTGTATTATGTCACTTCCAAATTCAGGAACTGCAATGACTCTTTACTGCTTCTTAATGCAGTGTGAGTATTCAGTGGGTCCAGAGTCCCTTTGGCAGAAGCCTAGAAATACAAACCACCAGTCAGACCCTGATCAGTTCCTGTCTTTCAGTCTACTACAGTCATTGAGAAGCCTGGAACTTTTCCCTACAACCAAGTTGATAAATGTTCTTATAGCAGTCATTCAAACATACCAAATTTATGTTTTCCCACCTTTACTCATGCAATTGACTTCATATCTATCTATCTATCTATCTATCTATCTATCTATCTATCTATAGATATATATAGATATTCCAGCCCCTCAATAATCAAACAAATAAGGCATATCT